AACCCCCTTGACAGAAAACAAACATCTAATTGAAAAACGACATCAGAACTGATGAAAATAACATCTTTAGGCTCTTCAGATCCATTTGAAATCTAATAACTCTAATAAATACCGAACAGACAGAATGTTTTGACTGACATATTGAGAAGTTTCACAGGATTTAACTGGATTTTTTATTTGGACCGCATAAAACACTGTGAATCCAAAGCCATTCACAAAGGAATGAGTTGAGGATTTCATACCCTTCTTTTCTGTGCAGGTGCGGCTGGTTAGCATATTTCGGGCATGTATTATTCCACTTTGAGATTTTTCAAGGATTTGTACTGTGCTTAGAATGAAGTCATTCAGATCAGTTTTAGGTCACAGAACTTTGGTTAAGTTTTGCTGGAGTTCATCATCAAGTGGAAAATTTCTAATACTTTTCTGGTATTTTTAATTACAGATCTGACTATTTTTTTTTTTTATCAACACCCACCATCCAGCACACAGGTCAGTGTTCTGTAGTACTTGTTCAATACGTTTAGAAGTCACTTTTATCTAAAGAAATGCATTTCATTCAGGGTACTAATTTTTGTTCATTTTTCAGTTTCATGCTCTGTCTTGGAATTTTAGATTTATTTATTTATTTATTTATTTATTTATTTATTTATTTATTTATTTATTTATTTATTTATTTATTTATTTTATTTTATTTTATTTTTTATTTTTTCATTTGTCAGTTAGTTTGTTTGTTTGTTTTTTGTTTGTTTATTTGTTTGCCCATTTCAGTTTCCCTTTAATTGTTTGGCTTGTTTTTTATCTGTTGAATTTTTTTCAGTTACAATTTTTTCTGGAATCCATTTTTATAGTTTTGTGGATTTTAGTAATCACAAATCCAAATCATATTTATTAAATTCTAAAACATTAATTTAACAATTTGTTAAGAGATAAAACAAAAACAAAAACACAGGACATATGGTGTTACATCCTACAATATATATATATATATATATATATATATATTTTGTAGATTACATGAAGATTTAATAAACTTGTTTTAAAAAATGTGCATTTTCAAGCCTCCATTGAAAATGGAGCCTTGAAAATGCACATTTTTTAAAACAAGTTTATTAAATCTTCATGTAATCTACAAAAAATGCAGTTAAGTGAAACCTGTCAAACCATATGCTTATGCATTAAAGGGATAGTTCATCCAAAAATGAAATTTACTCACTCTTTTACGCTATTTTTATTTTGATGGTTTTGATAAGTTCTTTTTTAAATCATTTTTGCTGTTTATTTACATGGCAACAGTACTATGGATATTTTTTTTTTAGTTATGAAGTGGTTTCTAAACCAGTGGCTCTAAAGTTTGTGCCATTCAGCTCTCGATCCCTTAACTTGAGTTAAACTGTATGAATATTGGACTGATTTTCATGCAGAAATTATATTAGTGGACCAGTTGTGTTGGCATGGTGACTGGCCTCTACAGTGGCGTCTCCAGCCACAGGGGATGATGAAGCGCTGTTGATGTTGGATAACAGAAGCAGATGGAGAGGTAAGGACTGAGGTAAATGATCTGAGAGCACTAGACCGGTTTCAGTTCACAGACTTTCTATTGAGCGAAATATGGCTGAGCTGAAAACAGGGATCCAATGAGTGTGGGAGACTTTACTGAGAGTTTATGGGGGCGAGACCAAGAACAATGCCTATGACGGTCTTAGGATAGTGTTTTTCAGCATTACAGAAAATATGTCATTTTAACTTGGGTTTAGATAAGATCCCTTATTGTCATTTTTATGTTTAGTACACATTGTATGATACACTGCAGTTTTATTGTCTGATGCTTTAAATGGCCAAACTCTCTAAAGAGTGATACATTCTGATTGGCCGTTGTTCAATCAGCTGAAAAAAGGTTCTAAATATGATTTTAAAAATATAGTTTTTTTAGTGCTGTTATTGTTATGGCTGTGATGTTGACTGAAGTTCTTCTGTCTTTAGGATTTTTAGAACTACACTCACTGAACACTTTAATAGGACTTATGTTCGACTGCTTGTAAACACAAATGTCTAATCAGTCAATCTCCTGGCATGTAGACATGGTCAATACCTTGTAGGGTAAGAATTTTGTATCAACAACATAAAAGGATGGATCCATCCTGCCTTGTATCAACGGTTCAGGCTGGTGGTGGTAGTTTAATAGTGTGGGGGATATTTTCTTGGCACACTTTAAGCCCATTAGCACCAATTAAGCAATGTGTCAGCGCAACAGCAGTATTGCCACAGTATTTTTGCTGACCATGTTTATCCCTTTATCATCTCAGACAGTTTTTTTTTTTAAACATGACAATGAGTTCACTTTACTCAAATGGCCTCCAGTCACCAGATCTCAATCCAATAGAGCACCTTTGTGGGATGTGGTGGAACAGGAGATTGGTTTTATAACTTGTTAAGTAGAACTTGCAGCACATTTGAACTCTCTTGGCCACCGTAGTTAAAGGTTCAAACCAAGGTAATGCTGATGACCAAGGGCAGGCATATATATGTGTGTGTGTGTGTGTGTGTGTGTGTGTGTGTGTGTGTGTGTGTGTGTGTGTGTGGCTACAGGTAAAATAGAGGACAGTGTCTGAGATCTACCTGCAGATCTCATCTAGACAGAACTTTACTACTGCCTCATTTCCTTATTCATCTCTCAGTCTAACTCAGAGATGCTGAAGTAGATTCTACAACCCTGGTTTATACACTGTAAAAAATTATATGATCAATTAGTCCTGACAGAATTTTTTTAGGTCATTGTAACTTATTAAGCTAGATTAATCATGTTCTAACTTAATTTGATAAGTTACACAAGCTGAAGCTGTTTTAAGTCAGTTTAACTTAATATAAGTTCAATGGACTCATAAGGTTAATTTGATAGCGTGAACATTTCAGGCAACCAGGTTTTTTTAGTAACAATTTAGTTCAGGTCACATTTCATGCCTTTAACTACTGGCTTATTACCTGCCTATTATTAAGATATTAACTGTTCATTAGTAGTTATAAAGTATGATGTAATTCTACATCCCTAATCTTACCCAAAATCTAAACCCAGCTACTACTTTACTAACTATTAATAAACGGTTAATTAGTACTTTATTAAGCTTGTAGTGTTAGTTAATGGTTGGTTAATATTGTGAATTGTGACCTTAACTGAAGTGTTACAGATTTGTTTACAGTGGAGAAACTTTGGTTTTAAACAATGTTTTTATTTTTTTATTTGGCATAAATAAATAAGAACAACAATAATTAGCCTATGTTACAGTATAAAAAACAAAAACAAACATTGAGACAGGGATGTTTGCAAACATCATTCTGAAATCTGAAAAGAAAAGCTTTGCTGTTTCTCACATCAATATATAGCTATGGGAAAAAAAATCAGGAGACCAGACTTGAAAATTCTAAGCTTGTTTGAATTTACAATTGATAGCTATGTGTTTAATTAAAACATTATTTATGTTTTTTTTTCTTTAGTGTATAATGCTGATATTTCTTCCAAACCGAAAAGATATCTAATAAAATAGAGCATTATTCTGAATAATACGATGTTTCTTCATGTTTATATTCATTTTCAGACAGCACAATTTTCTGGGAAAAGATGGCAACATATTGATTTGAAATTCAGTAGACTGTTAACAGTCTTTCATAAAAAAAAAAAAAAAACTAAAAAAAACTAATTTGAATATTTTACTTAAACCCATCTATAATAAATGCAGCGGATCCAGAGAAACTGAGAATTTTCAAGTGGCCTCTCTTGTTATATTTTTTCCTATAGCTATGGGTGCGTTTCCCAAAACCATCGTTAGCCAACTAAGGTCGCAAGTTCCGTCGTTACAACCAGTTTGTTGATTTGACATTTCCCAAATCCGTCGCTCCAACGAACATTCGCAAACTGTGTCGCAAACTTGAGGACTCGCAACTACAGCTCTGGAGCTGTAGTTAGAAACATAGTTCCTGGCTGTGTTCTATTCCAAACTTATCTCCCCTATGCCCTATTCATTTAGAACATTCTAACATTTAAAGTAGAAATTATTAAAAATAAAAAAGCATTAAAGTCATTACTCTTAGGTGTAATTTGCTTTTAAACTATTTTTACAGTTCAGTTTTAGCGATCTTCATGTTTACAATTGTGCTCCCTTCTCAGTGCACTTTGAAAGCATTGATGTCATTTTGAACACAGCCTCATAATAAAAGCTATAGGTAACCTATTATTTAAAAGCAGAATTTATGTTACGTCTCCAAAGCTTGTAAAAACAAAAAACAAACGTTTATTCTTTTAATTTATAGTTATTTATTATACATTATTTAATAAATATCTGTATGGGCCTGCTGGCTAGAACTTTCTGCAGAGGTTTAAATGTGTCAAATTGTAAAAGGAGACTTTAAAAAAAAATGTAAATAAATAAATAAACAATATCCTACTTAATAATAGTAATCATAATTATTATTATTATTATCATCATCATCATCATTAATATTATTATTAAAGTATGATTTTTAAAATTTCTAATAAATAATAAATATTACATTTTATTTTAGAATAAATAGCCTTATTATTTATTTATTTATTTATTTTATTTGTATGATTTAAATGATATTAGAATACATGTTAGCTTTTATAATTGATTTGATTTAGAATAGAATATTTAATGTTCAACTTCTCAATAATATTAGTAAAGCAAACATAGGCCCCTATATGTGCCATTTACATATATTTCAGTTAATATGAAAAGCGAGTTTACTTTTTTTTTTACCAAATCTAGTATTGGATTTTATTTTAAATGCGTGTTTGTGTAAAACAATATAATTTGCACAAAGAAATTATTGGTTTTTCTCTGAAGGAGTAGTTACTCCACCCAGTTTAGAGCGTCATTATGGGCGTTTTACATTATAACGTTACGTTTTAACATGGTTCAAATGATGGATCTGCGACAGAGAAACTACAGGTTTTGGGAAACACTCGTCACTACATAGATCTTTTCCCAATTGATGCATTGTACTATGATAGTTCAGCCGCGAGTTACGTGGTTGTTTGGGAAACGCACCCCTGATAAAGTTCAGTGTAGGTCATAAACATAGATTCAATACAGATCATACAATGAAAAAGAAAAGCCATTGGAACAGCTTAAACAAATATACTTTAACTTGTTACACCTAAACAATTGATTACACTGAAATTGTAATAAATCAAGTTAAAACAACAAGTAACAAGCTGAAGTAATTTTGGTCAAGTTTAAATTTTTTCAGTGTTGACAAAAACAAAAAGGGCAGCAAGATTGTCATTTCATTTGTGTCTTTTTCTTTTACAAATAATTCTCATAATATTAATCAAGTTTTTTGACCCTTTTCATTTTTGTAAAACGGTAATTAACCTCTATGTAAAACGAAACACTAATGAGGTTATGGTAAAATTCACATAGATTTTGGCTTCTAAATATGGAAATGCATAAAGGCAGTGTAGCTGTCCATTACAATGCCATTCACAGAGGAAGTTATGCAGTGGATAAGCAGTGTTGCGTTCCGTTCAACAGCTTATTTACAGCAAATTTACACTGAATGTGCAGTTCGTTCAGTTCATCTTCTTCAGACAGATGTGCTGCTCTTCATTAGCTTCTTAGCACAGTTTTCCTTTCTCTGTCTTTGTTCTGAAAGAAAAGAAAACAAAGTGGTCACGGAATGACTAGTTTGTAGGTTAAAGGGTCTTTATACATCTTGTACGTCCATTCGTTTTACAGACACATAAAAACAATTATCTCGTTAGGTTTTTAAACACATTAGGACACTGATGAGCAGTTGCACTCTGACCGTCATTACCCGCTGGTCAGATTTATTCAGACGTCTGGACCTTAATCAGGACCATCTAAATGATAGATCTGGTTTAGGGAATCTGATCACCTCAGAGTGTTGGGGGTCTGACTGTAACGTCATCTTTGAACACAGGTCACACATCCACCTGGTACATATTAGGCAGTATTGGTGCTGTGTGTGTGGTGCCACTTTATTTCTAAAATACAAAAAGGTAGATCTGTTTATTAACAATTTTGGGTTTTCCATTTATTTACAATTGTGAATTGCTTTATAGTAGCTTGATCTGTCTCTATTGACTTTTGATGTTGAAAATTGAACTCTATATACTCTCTTAATAAAATGACTTTTATTGACATTTTTGTAGTTTGAAATAATATAATGTATAATAAATCATACATGGGGAAATAAGTCTGTAGATGAATAGAAAACGTACTGGAAGTTTACTGGAAGTCCTTTGAGTTGTAAAATATTAAAAGTGTTCTTAAAAGTCACTTTTTTAAAGCTTTTTCAGGTTGTTGAAGAAAGATCAAGGTTCCATAATGCAATTCAAAAGATTAAATAAAATATAAATTATAAAATAAAAACATGAATCACAAAATACGGAAAACTAACAATTTATGGAATTTTTTTTTACAGTGTAGGCAATATAAATAACTGACTTTATATTTTCATATAGAATTACATTTACTGCCCATCGGATATTGCATAAAGGCAATAAGTAAACTGAGCAATTAGCCAGAATTCAGCAAGAAGACATCAGAGATTTATTGGTAAAACTGAAAAAAAAAAAGAAAAAAAAAAAGATTTATTTTAAACTAAAATACAAAGACAACATGTTTACAGGTAATGTTTCAGATCAGAAAGGATTGTAATGTGTATGTCTGTGTGTGTGCGTGCTTGCGTGTGTGTACAGTTGAGGTCAGAATTATTAGCCCCCCTGATTTTTTCCTAAATTTCTGTTCAACGGAGAGAAGATTTGATTTTCTAAACATAATAGTTTTAATATCTCATCTCTAATAATTGATGTATTTGATCTTTGTCATGATGACAGTAAATAATATTTTACTAGATATTTTTTGAGACGCTTCTATACAGCTTAAAGTCACATTAAAAGGCTTAACCAGGTTAATTAGGTTAACTAGGCAGGTAAAGGGAATTAGGCAAGTTATTGTTTAACGATTGTTTGTTCGGTAGACTATAAGGAGCTAATGATTTTGACCTTAAAATGTTTTTTTTTTTTAAATGTAAAGCTGCTTTCATTCTAGCCGAAATAATACAAATAAGACTTTCTCCAGAAGAGAAAATATTATCAGACATACTGTGAAAATTTCTTTGCTCTGTTAAACATCATTTGGCAAATATTTGAAAAAGAAAAAAAAAATCAAAGGAGGCTAATAATTCTGACTTCAACTGTATATATATATATATTTTTTTATATTTTTCATTTCTTTTTTGACCAAACACCTGCTTTGATTGTGCGCCTTTTTGTATTAAGATGTATCACTGCCACCTATTATGGGTTACTTATGTTTTGCATAGTGCTGTATTTTATGTGAATGAGGAAATTAATATGTATTAGAAACAATGACTTACAGCTGTTTTTGATTATTTAGTAAATTATTATATATTGTTTTTAACGTGAGTTGCATTCTACACCTTTTTTTGCAATATGCTATTGGTCATTGTAAGATATTTTGTGGTCACAATTTATTTTAAGGGGTAGTTTGCCCCAATATGAAAAATCTGTCATCGTTTACTTATGAAAAACTGTACAAAAGCATGCACATCCCTCTTGCTCAGCCAAAAAACACAAAAGGTGCAAATTAGATATTCATCAAAGCCGGCAACACCAAAGCTCCAAAAATACAAATTTATCAAATTAAAAAGGCTGACACAAAGTGTGTAACGTTTCGAGCCACGCTCGTCATCATTTACTTACCCATTACTCTTTTTCCATACTAGTTTTTTTCCTGATGAACTCAAAAGAAGATATTTTAAATAATGCATAAAACCTGTAACCATTGACATATTAAGAAAACAAATACAGTGCAAAATCTGTGGTTATGGGTTTCTGACATGTTTCAAGATTTTGTTCAACAGAACAAGAACTGGTGTGGGACAAGCAAAAGGTGACAAAATGACAGCAAAATAAAAAACAAATTGGGTGAACTATCCCTTAAAGGTAAAGTTCTCATAACAAACCATTAATTATGAACTCATAATTTGCTGCTTTATTAATAGTTATTGAGGTAGAAGTTAGATTTAGGTATTGGGTAGGATATGAGAGATGCAGAATATGCACTTCATAAGTCCTAATAAACAGCCAACATCTTGATAATAAGCCACTAGATAATATAGTCACAATTGGTTCTTAAAGCAAAGAACTACCAAAAAATGAACCTAATATTTAACTCATAACCCCACATAAAAAATAAGTGGTTTCAGCTGATAAAACAAAGACTTTTAAATGTTTGCTGTTAAAAGCTGACAAATTTTAAGTTTGAGATCATCAGCTCATTAATTGTTAGCAGCCGATGAAATTTAGATTAATAAATAAATCATTCTCCAAAGCCCATCAAACGTGCCTATATTATTCCAGTAATAGCATATGAAATACTAGATGAAAGGATGAATCTGGAGTGTTTTCATTAAACTGTGGTGTTTAAAGGGTCTGTTCAGGATTAGTCGTCGTAATGATGATGAGGGTGTTGAAGGCTTTGGTGAAACTCAGGACACACGTGAACTGCGCAGGAAGACATTCGGGTTGTCAGGGGGAAAGACCAGATGTTTCTAGTGTGCTGCACAAACACAGCAGACACATAGCTGCCTGTGCACATTTTGTATACCTCTGTATGAGAGTTTTTGTCTAGAGCCAAATGAGTCGTTTGTAAACACTTTTGTTCCGAATGCGGTAGATGCTAATTAATGTGGTTGAAGTCAGACCAAGCATATTAAGATTTTCGCCAGGATTCAGTGCCAAAATGATCCATATTGATGATCTGATGACATCAAGAAATTATGCAAATGAAAGCTCAAAAAGCTCTGCTTACATATCTGCTCATCTGTCATTTGCACACTTAAAACAATTCATTGTATCAGGAACTATAACAATAGGATAAATGGCACTTTCATTTTTAACATCATTCCTATTTTTCCAAACAAATGATAAAGGTGATATTTTCAATTCAATTAATCTTCTATAGCGCTTTTACAATGTAGATTGTCAAAGCCGGTTTACATAGAAGTTCTAGAAAAGTCCAGATTTCAGAGTTAAAGATGGAAGAATGCTTCTTAAATTCAATAAAAGTCAAAGAGGTCTAGTTAGGAATGTGCAATATGATAATATATATTGGATCTACCATTTAAATAGCATACTTTATTTTGTGGTGTTGCAAAATACATTGTTTATGGTTATACTTTCTCATCATTTGGAGGCAATCTTGGACACAGCTTGAAATATGAAAAACTGTTTGGTGAGAAAGTTGTATATCTATAAAAGTTACATTTTTATATTTTTTTAAAGTTGAGGCATGTAGTCATTCATTCAGTATTTTCTAGTCCCTTTATTAATCAGGGGTCGCCACAGTGGAATGAACCGCCAACTTATACAGCATATGTTTTACACAGGAGATGCCCTTCCAGCTGCAAACCCAACACTGGGAAACACCCATACATTCTTGCATTCACACAAATACACTACAGCCAATTTAGCTTATTCATTTCACCTTTAGCGCATGTCTTTGGACTGTGGGGAAACCGGAGCACCCAGAGGGAACCCGCACCAACATGGGAGAACATGCAAACTCCATACTGTTTTTATTTTTACTTTTTCTTACATTTTACGGGTGATAACAGACAAACAGACGTTTCGGCACAAAGCCTTCCTCAGTGCTGTGAAGATTATAAGTTATTGTGTGATTAATTGATAATGAAATGAGAGTGACGGTTTAACTAATTGCGCATTGTGATTGACTATGGAATAAAAGGGTGGAGTTGGAGAATGTGTCACACACTGAGGAAGGCTTTGTGCCGAAACGTCTGTTTGTCTGTTATCACCCGTAAAATGTAAGAAAAAGTAAAAATAAAAACAGTATGAAGCAATTGAGTGCGAATCATTACCTTCTTTTGAATAATAGCAACGATTAGATTAACGCACCAAACCAAAGAAGTAACTAAAAAAAAGCGCAAGCGCGCAGGACAAACTTCAGTAACTCAGAACATGCAAACTCCACACAGAAATGCCTACTGGCCCAGCCAGAGCTCGAACCAGCAACCTTCTTGCTATGAGGCGATTGTGCTACCCACTGTGCCATTGTGACGCCCAGCCATGTAGTCATTCATTTTTAAAAAGTTTTCATTAATAATAATTTATAATTTCATTATTATTTCAACATTTGTAATTTAATTGGATTTGTACACCACTAGCTTTACTTTTAAAAAAGCTGAAATATATTTCAAAGTTTCTGAAGAGTCATAAATTCAAACAGGTTTGCTATAGTAAGAAAAGATGGCAAAATTGTCATTTTGGGTAAAAAAAAAATCTCTGATAATATTCTGTAATTTGGCATCACTAATGATGTGCTGACCTTTAACCTTTGATCTTTCAATTAAATGTAAATAATTTACTATTTATTTAACACCAAGCATTCCAAAATTTGACAAATTTATGAATGTGGTTCAGATCTGACCTCTAATAACATGATATGTTTTGACAGCTATGTTCCATTAAGCCACTCACCAGTCGTCTCTGGTTACTGAGGCAGAAGGTGCAGATCTGTCTGGGCTGTGAGTTTTCAGAGTCCGGGCTGGGTGTTGAGCTCTTGGAGACGTTGTGGTGGTGATGAAACAAGGAGCCAGAGCTCCTGAGGCAGGGCTGACCGTCTCCACACTCCTCTCCAACCAGCAGGACATTCCCCAAATGCGAGATGTAGCTAGAGGCCAAACGCAGGGTCTCGATCTTGGAGAGCTTCCTGTCAGCCGGTTCTGTAGGTATCAGCGTCCTCAGAGCAGTGAACGCTGTGTTCACACTGTTCGTTCGTTCTCGCTCTCTGGCGTTAGCAGTGTTTCGCTGTCGTACCTCAGTGATCGGAGTACAGAGTTCAGTGGGAATTGCTAACGGCCGGCAGCTGTACCTCTTCTTGCGTACACCCAGCTTAAAGGAACCATAGCCATGGCTGGACGTTCTGAAAGACTTGTCCTCAGATCCAGAACCCTCGCTGCCGTTGTCATCATCTTCAGAGTGCATGTTGATCTCAGAACACAAGTAATGACCTGGGGTTGGGCGCACCATCGCAAAAGACATGCCTCAGTACTGAAGCTTAGTTTCGATTTTACACCCAAGTGTAGAATCCTTCTAGTCTAGACAAACGTGAACCGTATCCCTGTTTCTAATCACACACCCAAGCATCAGCATGCACAACTTCTTTAGAATGAAGAACCAGTCCTGCTTTAGGGATCCAATCAATCCAGCGATGCTTGACTCACTCATTCATAAGAAATACTCTTTTCGCCACTGTCACTTTTTTAGTCAAGCCTCCTCCCAGAATCTGTGTGTTTGAATGAGTTTGTGAGCTCCAGCTCCTTCAGTTCCACGTGTGATTTCGGCTGAGCGTTTCCTTATGCCTTGGATTTATAGTCAGGGGGTGTGGCTGGGGTCCCTTCGCTCTCTCTTCAACCACTGTAGATGTGAAATCCAGTGAGCAAGAGGGAGGAATGAAAGAAAACCCTCTCAGTCTTTCTCCTTCTGTCTCTTTCACTCCACATGAGGATTTTGTTTTTTAAAAATTGACCCTGAAATGGTTCCACTGAAGATTAATCTATGTGATAGATTGGTTAGGTTTTTTTCGGTGTATTAAATTTCTTTCTCACTGAGGTTTCAATTCAATCCATTAACTCTACGTCTTTTTTTTTTTTAGGTCCTCTCACTCTTTGTCAAAAGCATGAATCGCCTTGGCCAGATGCTCATGAATCAATCTGGTTGTGTGGACGTTAGCCCAGATCGTTTTTGCCTTTGGCACCACAGTCACAGGAGGCCTAACAAATGATTGCACAGTAATATCTCAGAATTATGCAACATTCATAATATAAATTCTTCATCATTCATAAAATGGTTCTTGCGCATGGAGAATGTCCACTAGCAGCTCTAGTGCTGATTAATCAGGAAGTGCCCTGGGCTGAGGCGGGTTTTCACTGTAAGCAGACATGATGAGGCTCATAATGGCTGAGTGGAGGTGATTGGTGGATTGGTTGTTTGAAAAGCTTTATGTCAATCATGGGCACACTGACATTTTCACTTGGCATTCTTGTCAAACGTTGCCAAATATTTTGAGACATTACAGGATGTTAATGCACTTACATTTACCATTCCGGTCTTTTCAATTATACATTCTGAGGTGTGCTTGAAAGATGATTACAGCTCTGGAAAAACTTACAAGACCACAGATATTATTGGTTCTCTTGATATGTTCATTCATTCATTTTCCTTCAGCTTAGTCTCTATTTCAGAGGTCGTCACCGCGGAATGAACCACCAACTATTCCGGCATATGTTTTACAACGCAGATGCTCTTTCAGCCGCAACCCAGTATACACACTCATTCACACACACACTCATACACCGGCGAATTTAGTTAATCCAATTTACAATTCATACACTTCATGTAACATCATCATCAGCTGCCAAAGTTATACCACCATCTAGTCCAGCCGGAATACACACCAGCGACCTTCTTGTTCTACAATCTAGTAATAAACTGCTACTATTAATACATGGTAACAGATTGGTTCATTCAAAAATGAGAATTCTGTTATTCGTTTATGTCCTTCACTCACACCTCACTCAACTGCCATTCTTGTTCATAGTTTAGTCACATTTCGTTTAGACTACTGTAATTCCCTTCTGTTTGGCCTCCCTAATAAAACCCTTCTTAAATTACAATTGGTACACAACGCTGCAGCTCGTATTATCACACCCATTCTACAACAGCTTCATTGGCCTGCCATCTTTTACAGAATTAATTATAAATTCTCATCTTGATAGCCATCCACAATCTTGCTCCTCCATACCTTACTAGTCTTGTTCATATCACCACACCATTTCAAACACTCAGGTCATCTTCTTCCATTCAACTCACTGTTTCCTCTGTCCGCCTTGTCAACACAGAGAGCAGAGCCTTCAGCCACTCTGCTCCTCAGCTTTGGAATTCACACCCTCCTGGTCTCCATGATTTAAACTCTCTTTTACAATTTAAATCTAAACTTGAAACACTTCTGTTGAGAACAACCTACTCTCTTTAACTCAGCTGCACTTTTAAAACTGCAATGTATTCTATTGACTTTTATATTGTGTTTGTATTTGAACTGACTGTTCTTGCTGTCTTGTAATTCATTTATTTATTTATTTATTTATTGGTCTTCCAGAGACCTTTGTTCAATATTGGAACACAAATTAAGATATTTTGGATTACATTTGAGAGCACTCTCATCCTTCACAGCAATGGTCCAGAGACATACAAAGTTCAGAAAAAAAAAAACAGTAACACTTTATTTTGATGGTCCATTTTAGTATTAGTAGACTGTCTGTTTAATATATGTTGATACTGCTACTTCATCAGAAATATAACTGACTATAAGAAACTTTGCTAGTACATGTCAGCTTACACTAACCCTAACCCCAGCCCAACAGTCTACTTATAATCTAATGAGAAATACTTGCAATGTAATTTCAATTCAACAAATGGACTATCAAAATAAAGTGTGAACCAAGTAATTGTCAAAATCTTCCATGTGACTTCAGTTGTTCAACTGTAATTAATCCAAGCTACAAGTACACATTTGTACACACAAAAAAACATAAAAAACTAACTTTAACTCTGACTTTAACGAGACTAAGCCGAAGGAAAATGAATGAATGAATTTGCCTATAAAAAATCTGTCTTTCTGGAAAAAACAACAACAACAACAACACTAAAGTTGGCTATAGAAAATGATTGCCACCAACTTAATTAGTATTTTTTTAAATATAAACAGTAAAATCACAATAAACATGTACAATAAAGTTTTTTAAACTGAGACAAGATTTAAATTAAAGTTAATTCATAAAATCTGTTGCAAATGTGGTTTTAGATACATGGTTTGCATTAGCTAAAGGAAAATGAATAGTGTAAAAAAATTGGTAGGTTGAAAAATTATTTGCATGATAAATATGCAAAGAAAAGTGCTCAAAAACAATGTCCAATTTGAGCAATATTTCAAATAAAGAAACCCGTTTCATTTAAAGCATTTTGACCAGACAAAGAAGGGGACAATTGGGGAAAAATACTTGTTTTTTTGAGAGTAGATTTCATGGATTGCACAATGTAGTATTGAATGTAAATGTCTGTAAAAACAAATTAAGTTTTTGCCTTCCTAAAGGATAATTCTGAACTGCTTAATCAAAATAATATTAATTTATTAATTAAAGTTTCACTTCTGTAACCAATGTCTATAAATCTGTTTCACATTTGAATAATGCCACCCTATGGAATTTAAGGTCGTACCTTTAAACTGTTTAGTTAGTTTTACTGGTTTTACCGTCCTACAATTGCTGAAGAATGAGGAATCCTCTGAAGCAGAAGTAACATGCAGGTTTCCAACACACTGCAAGTGGTCAACCAATCACAAAAGACTGTGCCATGTGACCAATCACTGCAGAGTAGGCTCTAGAAAAGGGTTTAGATAAAAAAAGAGCAAGTCTTCCAAACAATCTCTTAAAAATCTATCAGAAAAGAGGTAATATTTCATTTAGCATATTAACATTACAAACGAGCACAAACCCTTTGTATTAATGCTGAAACTTGATGTCTATAAATCAGAGCTGACCAGAAGTTCATTCTTCCCTACATCTGATTATCATTACTCTTTCTGGAACATCTGTGGTAAAACGTCATCCCAAATTTAAGTGCCCTTCTCCCTGTGCCCTGTGCAGTTGAACTTTTCTGGCATGGGTCGGAAAACTGTCAGAATCCATCACTAATCCTTTGCTCAGGAGCGCAGACGGTCGTTATGGAAGTCTGCCGGACATACGTCCAGTCAAGTACCCGGGGACTCGGCTGTCTAGCCATAGTTGGGGACAAGCCAGCAGGCAGAAACCACGCCTGACAGGACGGAGCCTCCGCAGCTGCCTCATTTACTGTAAGGAGAGAGGGATTTAGGGGTGGAGGGAAAGAGAGAGACCCTATCAGCTGGCTCAATTTAACCTGCAGATCACTTTACGTGTCATGCAACAGCTCTAATTAGTAATGAATTGTGACCTCATCAGTTAGACGTATAGACGGGGGATGGTTTTTCAATCTGTCTGAAATGGGGCAATGCTCTTTAAGAGGGGGTCACATAAGCTCAATGAAATAATTTGGCATTAAACTCAGCTCTCCTCCGCTGATGGGTAACTGCCTTCTGTGGCCTTGCCTCTGACTTCCAACCCCTCTATTTCAGGAGCAGAAGTGAAGTCAGTCTTTGCTGAAATTCCATGCCGTAATCGTCCCGTTCCTCGGAAGCCAAAGAATTCAGACGGCAAAGCAGGTCAGTGGGGTTTTGAGATGGAAAAATTGAACCGCTTTGAAACTTCTGGAATTCTGTGCCCTTCAGAGCATTTCTGACAGATCTTACCCTACAGAACCTCAGTGAAATATGTATTAAATAACATAAATATCAAATTAATATATAAAATCTCAATTACATAGAATTTAAATATTTATCTAAAGAAAGAAAAGAAGTGGAACAGTATTTCACGTGAATATACTATGCACATACAATACAGTATAGTGTAAAATAGTATATAGAAATATATTTTTAAACAACAAATATAATAAAATAAATGATATTGTTTTTATTAAATGGAGAGGAAAATATGGAACAATAAAGATAAGATGAACATAGTATATGTGGGTTTATGGGTGTCTTAAAGGGACCTATCGTGCACTTTTTTACATAATTTAAAGTAAGTCTCATATGTCCCTAGATTGTGTATGTGAAGTTTAAGCTCAAAATACCCCACAAATGATTTAACTCTTTGAAACTGCCTCTTTTAAGCTTTGATCCAAATTGTGCTGTTTTGGTTACCGTCGCTTTAAATTCAAACGAGATTGTGCTGTCAGCTCTCTTTTCAAAAGAGGATGGTGCTACAAATGCCTATGGCTGCGTCTGAAATCGTCTTCTTCTCAGTAGTTACTGCATTTGAATTTAAATGTACTACTCGGCCGTTAGTAAAGTATGTTCTAGATAGTATGTCAGTATTATGAATGAAAATCGGACATACTTCATCTGACATTGTGTCATCTTCACGTGACCTACCCGCGTCAGTTGCGTCACTTCACTCCCATTCATGAATTCTTTTGCGGTGCATCATGGAATAGCGTAGCATACATCGGATGCTCACTTCAGAATCTCGCCTGAGGTAGTAGGTCATCCAAGTGCTTCTCGCATACTGTTTTTCGAATTTTAGGAATTCGGACATACTACTCGGCTCACATACTGTTTTTAGTATGCTATATAGTATGGAAGTATGTGATTTCAAACACAGCTTAAGTGTCAGCATAAGGCAAATGGCTGCTGCTCACTCAGGGCTGTCTATGCTAATGAGGGAAAGATTGTCACTAATGGGTGGGGCTTTCCCTCTTCCATGACATACTAAGGGAGAGTCAA